TATTATATTTATTTTGGAGTATCCCATAAGGGATAGTCATTCAGATCAGAAGCTATTCATATGAGCTACACTTGGTCTATATTACCCAGAAGATTTGTTACTCGGGAGCATGTCACATGCGTCATCCTTTAAAGGGTGTCGAAGGCATATTTTTTGGCCTAGGCCTAATATGTCTGCAGCCCATATTTTCAGGTGTGGCCTGTCACGTTCTTTTAGGGACTTAGGCACTTTTTGCTTAGGCCAAAGTGCGCGTGATCAAGTGCCCAATACCTTAAAATCCTTTTATACCGCAGTTACTTAACTTTTTAGGAGTTGGTACAATGCATCTTAAAAGGTGTCAAACAGTAAAGCTTTATATAGCTGTCCCGCTGACTTTTTTATATATAAGTCAAGGTGCTGTTTGGGTTTTTAAGCAATTGATTGGATACAATATCATTGCTTTTTGCCACGTAAGTGTGCATTTTTATTGACCAATATTATGGCTTAGGCTGATTATATATTGTGGTCATTTTCTAGGCGGTTGGTAAATCCTTTATGAGTTTATTTATTCGGATTTTACACCACATATGCCATATATTTCCAGGTGTGGTGAAACCATGTGTCTTCTAGGGACTTAAGCACATCTGTTAAAGCAGTGTGCGCATGGCGTATGCCCAATACTTTGGAAATTTCTTTATTCACAATATACAAGCTTCTTTATAGCTATTTTGCTATATCACTCATCATATTTTACAAAGCAGTCGGTATATCACTTGGATCATATTATTCGGGGATTCACACCGCATATGCTATATATTGGTATCAAGTCACTTGGTTGACTACGATTATCAAAACCACTCAGTTGGTGCATCTATTAGATACATCTATTCGATGCACCTGACTTTATTTTTCAGCCCTCCACAGTCTTCATATTTGGTAAAAGTACTCGGGAGATCATGGTGAGGATGATTGAAGCACTCGGCTTTGGAGTAATCTAGTTCGAGAAAAGATTATCTTTCCGACTGTGAAGGTCTCAGGGGCTACTGTGGAGATTATGGGTACCCCATACCCACACGGCATGGTTATCCGACTAGTAATAGGGGATAACATATATCTATGGAATATGTAACCGATCATGACTTGGGTATTACGTTTCCTTTTATATTATGGAGCGGCCTAAAGTCCTGATTCGATAATATTGTAAAATAGATTTAGGAAACCGATACCGTATTGGTTAAGGTTTCTATCTTGTAATCCTGCCCCCCATCCTATATAAGGTGGGCAGGAGGCCCTCTAGGGGGCATGAGACAACCTGATCGTCAGATCAATACACACTCGGCGGATTCAAATCCCCAAACAGGAGTAGGGTATTACCTCTCATTGAGAGGGCCTGAACCTGTCTAAATCCTTTGTCTCTGCATCCATCCACTTTAGGTCTCGTCCGCTACCCCCTTTTATTATTGCCGAATTCATGTTTCGACAATATCGAATATACTAGAAAGTAACCGCAGCTTCGCGCGGAAGTATACATAGGCCAGGCCAATAGGATGCAGTGTGTTCCCTATTAATTATCATACCTTGTCATCAGCTAAATAAGGCATTAATCATATTCTGATTGGCATGCTCATATTGCAAAGCCCCAAAATCCCTCAGTTCCCTTCGAGAAAAAGAAAACTATCGGTTCCATGTTTTACCATCGTGTTGTTCTGCAGAAATGATTATTTTCTGTTTGATGGCCATTTTGAATAGATAGAAATTTACCAAAAGTTATAAATAGATAGAAATGCATATATTATAAATATACCAAAAGTTAGTGTTGTGCATAATCCATATAGCAAAAGTATGCGGTCTTTATCAGATAGGTTATCAAGCAGAGCGACTATTTTGACTGTGTGTTTGAATCAAACGATAATCAGTGTTTTCTTCACTACTACTTCTCTACGATAATAATATTATAAATATTTATGTATTATATTGAATAATTATATGGTCGTCGTGGAACATCTAAAGTAAAACCCTAGAGAATTAAGACACTTAAGAATCAGTGAATCAATAACATCCTTTATAATAGTAAATATTGACAGAAGCAATTATATAAATAATAAGTAAATAGTATCATAAAGCATTTTATTAGATGGATTAGATTTTCTCCGATGTTTCAGAAAACTAATATGTGATTCCAAAGTATATGAATTGTACTGTATATTAAAGTTCTTCAGCATAATATATTTGAGCTATGGACTCAAGGACAACAAGGTCCCGTCAAACATTTAAGTTTCATAATAGTAAAATTATATAAAGAATTATCACAGCTTGCTTAAGCTTCAAATTTGCTTTTAACTACAAAATCATTCCAATGAACATGGCAGGCAAACCCCAAACATCTTCTCTAGTTTGTTACTGTCATATAATTATAGAGAGCATGCAAAGCACACTTGTGGTAAAAAAAAAACTTAACATCATTGATTCAAAGTACAAAGAACTTGTCGAATGAAAATTTTTCTTTAGACCAACAATGCAATTTTTACTCTAGGATATACTTGTATACTCCATCTCGAATAAATGCAATTCTTACTCTAGGCAGTCTATACATTACCCTGCTCAGTCATGACTCAAAATTAGTTCCAAGAATATGTAATTAACGCAGCAATTAATCATGTTTGAGGTGACTCCATTTGTGAAGATGAACTCTGCATTAAAAAAGGAAAGTATTACATATTATGCAATACTAACAGATATATAGGCACTATTCTTCTCATCCCGAAATCTGATGAACTTGTAGATATGATTGCTGCACTGGAGACGGTAATAATTTTTTCAATAACATTTGGAAAAAGAAATCAATAGAACAAGACAATGATGTGAACAAATATTATCGAGAAGCAAGAAAGGGCAAAACTTAAGGAGTGCAGTAAATAATTCATCTACAGAAATCATGACCATATCCATATGGTAATCGAATGATCTTGGATGGGAACACTTTCACTTTCTGCATTGGACACTGAAAGATCATTATCTCGTGGTAGTCCTGGATGAGTTATACAAATCCTTGTAGCAAAATCAGAGCAGCTTTTAAAAGCTTATCGATCTCAGTTTGAGCAGCCAACAGATCAAGCTTTCTCAAGGTTACTTCTCAACCTAGGATCAATCAGCAAAGAACAATTCTAATTATAGGATCAGCTATGGACATCAAACAATAATTGCTTACAACAATTTCACATTTTTCTAGAACCATACAAAATATGCATTGTGTTCATGTCCACTCGCCTGCAGTCCGCTCCCCATCCATCTATGCACTGTCAGGGGAAGGGGAAGGGGAAGTGGACTCACGAGCTGGCGAGGATGACGACCGAGAGAGGGGCAAGAGATTAGAAAGGTAGCGGCAGCGGCTATGTTGACGGCTACGGATGGGATCGACCACTAGGCGGCGGATTGAGCGCCTTAACATCGAAGTCCAGCCCCGGCGCCCGGCCATCGATCCCAGTCGATTGCTGCGCCAAGCTCGACCACTGGCCTGCCGGGTCAAGCACATCAGCAAGGAAGAAAGGGGGCGAGGAGGAGGCGGCGGCGCTCGGCTCGCGAGATGAGAATGCGCGGGAGAGGTAAAGTGAGGGAGGCGCTGTGGGATAGGGTTTCTAGGGGCGACGCTTGACGAATCGGCGAGGTCCGGCACTGATGTGGAGCGGCGGTTGCCCGGCTCGCGACTTGCCGAAGGAGCCGAGGAGGAAGAAGCGAGGCCGCGAGAGGAGACGATTTCTCTGGAAGGGATGTCACCTTTTCCGTTTAACCCCCTGAGAAATCTAAAATTTACAGTTAGATCCTTTGTTCCTTCTATGCCGTTGTTTTGTTATCCAACGGATGCAGGGTGAGAGCCAATTCCATCAATTGCGCGATGCCACGTGGCGGGGCTGTCCGGCCGAGAACGTGCCCGGAATTCGGTATAAGAGATAGTAACAAGTGGTTCTTCACGTTATTTGATACGGAGTAGTACTACTAAGTCTAAGTTCGCATGTTTAAGGTAGCGTCTAAGTCAAACAATGATGGCCGGTCAACGGCCATAACGACACAAGCTAGCTAGCTTGTGCGATGCAATGTTTCGAAGCATCGATTTTTTACCATGAACCACACCCCCTGCTTAAGACCAATGACCACCAACAGTGGCTATCCGAGTTTGACAGTCAACCTTAAACCTTCACATGATGGCGGCATTCTTATTGACAAATTGTTTACTTCTATCTGCCTTTTCAGCTGTGATGTTTAACAATATGCTATCTGGCACATGCACGATATCACTAAGATAATGCTTGGGGGTGGTCAATTTTCATTTGAAATCTCTGGTTCCTGCACAAGCAACTTTCCTGCGCTCAGGTATAGGCGTATAGCTTGACACTCAAATTAAGTACATGTACCACTTGATTTGTGTCTAGTGTAAATCGCATTAGCCATCGATTTCGAATATTAAAGAAAAGATCGCAGTGAAATATTCCTGATTGGAAGATGCTTGACGGAATATATGCAATAACTGACGTGATCTTTTTTAAAAAGGGGAATTTTAGGTACCGCTGATAATAATGAATGAATAAAGACCGTCCATTACTTTTCTAACCCAACGGATTAATATACCAGTTAAATTTAGGGTTGAAGAAATTAAGATGAAATTCTTTTGTTCACAATACTTAAAACCGTGCACAATTTTCAGCAAAATTAGATGGAAAATAGGCCATAACGCATATTAGCGATAAAAAATAATTCGTAAGTAATTTTTTGTGTGTGTTTTAGCGACTCAATAATCAAATGCTATAAGATTCTAGTAAGATGAGAAAAAAGAAGCACCAAAATCAACTCTAAAATTAAATTTACAAGGGTTAATTCGCGAGTAATAACGGTAATAATCTGGGTATCGTATCCAGCACATGTCTCTTCACGCCCGGAGATTCCAATCCGGGTTAACCAACCTTATCGCCGCTGAATGAGACTGACGACCCAACGATCTGCAGCAAGTTAATTAATTTTATGTGCGTCGATGCCGCACTATAAATTAGTCATGCACAGTTGCATCCATGGCTGCCAAGCTCGAACAAGCAATTCTCAGGGATAATCACACGATAGTAGAGCTTAATTAGTATCATCAACCGTGCCACGGTGCCGATCGATCAGCGACACAACAATTAAGCTCTTCAACATGTCGTGCAATTCTGCCGAGGTCGCGGCCAACGACGGCAGCAGCAATGGCGGTGAGAAGCAGCAGCAGCAGGAGGAGGAGGTGGTGTGCGTGACGGGAGCGGGAGGCTTCATCGGATCATGGGTGGTGAAGGAGCACCTCCTCCGTGGCTACCGCGTCAGGGGAACAGCCAGGGATCCCACCAAGAACGCCCACCTGCTCGCGCTCGACGGAGCCGGCGAGAGGCTCACCCTGTGCCGCGCCGACGTCCTGGACTCCGAGAGCCTGCGCGCCGCGTTCGCCGGATGCCATGGCGTCTTCCACGTCGCCTCCCCGGTGTCCAATGACCCTGTGAGTTCACTGTTCAGAAAGACAAATTATATAATTGCTTTGTTTGATCGAGTAGACGAGTACTTACAGATGGCTGCTGCTGCTCCGTTTGCTGCAGAATCTGGTGCCGATCGCGGTGGAGGGGACGAGGAACGTGGTGAACGCGGCGGCGGACATGGGCGTGCGGCGCGTGGTGTTCACGTCGTCGTACGGCGCCGTGCACATGAACCCCAACCGGAGCCCCGACACCGTCCTCGACGAGACCTGCTGGAGCGACCCCAAATTCTGCCGCCAAACCGACGTAAGTTCAGTTCCCTCTCTGCACTGTACCATGCGATTCTCAATTCGGAAATCTGAGACGCACCGTGACATGAACAACGACGACGCAGGTATACTGCTACGCGAAGACGATGGCGGAGAAGGCGGCGGAGGAGGAGGCGGCAAAGCGAGGCGTGCAGCTGGCGGTGGTGCTGCCCTGCGTGACGGTCGGGCCAATCTTGCACCCGGCCATCAACACCAGCATCAACCACGTCGTCCGCTACCTCACGGGCGCCGCGCCCACCTACCCGAACGCCGTCGCGGCCTACGTCGACGTCCGCGACGTCGCCCGCGCGCACGCACTCGTCTACGAGCGCCACGACGCCCGCGGCCGCTACCTCTGCATCGGCGCCGTGCTCCACCGCGCCCATCTCCTCCAGATGCTCAAGGAACTTTTCCCACAGTACCCCGTCACTTCCAAGTACGTAGTTGCATATATAACGTTGCATGAATCCTGTGCCGTCAAAGCCACATAACTTTTTTCTTTGACATATAGGCTCAATAATCATTAGGCTCACATGTCACATGTCAGTGATAAGGCACCGTGCATTTGATTATAGAGGATCTCAATTCTTATGATAGATGCAGTGCCCTTCTCAAATTATCACGTATTGATCATGTTGTGATTTTCATTTCTGGTTATTTTTTTTAGGTGCAAGGACGATGGGAATCCGATGGTGGAACCGTACAAGTTCTCGAACCAGAGGCTCAAGGATTTGGGCTTCGAATTCACACCAATGAGGAAGTGTCTGTATGACGCAGTCGTATGCATGCAACAGAAGGGGCACCTCCCGCTGGTTGGTACCGCCGTACCGGACCAAAATGTGACCTCTAATACGAGCTCGATCGTCTAAGGCAACTGGTAGATTCGAGTAATCTTCTGATGTTATCACAATAGCAGAAATGGACTGTAGTCTAGGTTATAACGGTTTATGTTAACCCAAGGAGTTTCCACAGAAATACTACTCGAAAATATCTGAAATTACTAGCGAAATGTCTATGCTTTGCTACGGATAATATAAAATGTATTGTAATGAAATATGTAAATATATGTTATTGGCAAATATGTATTAGGAATGACCAGTGTAAAAATACAATGTATAAATATCCAAAATTACATCCAACAATAATTAATTTTCAGTAAAGAAAAGGATGATCAAGAATATTTGATTTTAACACATGTTCTATAGTATAATCAGATATCACTAAAATTTGAAACAAAAAAAAACTTAAGACTCTTGTCAAATATCATACAAGAGCACCTTTTATAATGAATGATAAGGTCCCATGAAGGTAATGGTGAATGGAAATCTGGATTTCATTTGAATTGAGTACTAACCAGAGCTCTAACGTCTGATGAAGGTCTCTATTATTCAGAGGTGGAGATTTATTTGAAGTCTGATGAAAGTATAATATTGAGACGTTGTTGGAAAGGTATAACTCTAGAGTAACTAGTAAGAGAAGTGGAGTCGGGTATCTAAACTCTGGAGCAGATTCAAATTGTATTGTTTTCAAATTGTTTAAAACCTTAAAAGAGTATTCAAACTGTTTTTCCTTGGTTGCAAATCCTGTATGGTTTTCAAATAATGTTTAACAAGTTCTAACGAAGGTATGTCTGAAGCTTTAGTTTTTAATAATCTGAATGATCAATTTCAGATTAGTATTTTTCTATATCCTATAATCATAAGACCAAATAAAAATTTAAACAATGTATTGGTTGGGGTGCGCCAGGCCCGGGCAGCAGTGCAACGCCTGGGCGACGCATGAGGGCCCCAGTGGCAAGCCACTGTAGTGGGCCCTCCCCCACAAAAAATAAATTTAATATCAAAGTGGACACATGGCCCACATATCAGATATTAAACTGATAAGAACAGATACTACACTTGATCTTAGCCAAAAGGCCGAGAAAGGTATGAGTTGCTTAGTCCAACCCTGCCTGCTTGTATACAGAGCGCAGCGCCATCTACTACCCTCCGTCTCCGAGGTGGTACTAAACCGAGTGCCATCCATCCATCTGCCCGGTGCAAGCGCGGATATGGGCTGGCATTTCCCTTTTAGGGCCGAAATATGGGCTGGATTTACTGCTGTTGCGTGTTACTAGTGGTAAAGGCCCAATACTAGAACTGGGCTGTCTATATCCGTCACGGTCCACGGTGGTAAATGGGCCGGCCCAGCAAGGGCTGGCTCTTCTAGAAGAGAAACGGACTGCTCTCTCGCCCTGGCGTCGCAGCCATGGCTAGCGCCCACAATTGAAGGCGAGGACGAAGACGTCAAGAAGTTGTTGTTCTAAACTGAGTCAAGTGAACGGTGAATCTATTTGGTTAGCTCTTCTATTTCGGCGGAATTTGTTGTCATGAGGTCACTATTGCCGCAAATATAAGTGGTTCTTTTACGTGTGTTTTGGCACCATTCATTGTTTAACTGTGTGCTGGTAGTGTCCGAGTCAATTAGTTAGTCAAACATGATGGTCGGCTAAATGGCCATTGGCCATGACAGTATGACACTAGCTTCTGCCGTGCGAGGTTTTGAAGATTTTCCCAAAAAATCTTTATCCCCTGCTTGAGACCAGTTACCAGCAGTTATCCGAATCTATCTATCTATCTATTATTATTATATTATTATTAAAGGAATAGAAAAATGAGCCTCCACGTTCGCTCTCATGGCCTAGAAATTCTCACATTAATCGAAGAAAAAGAAAAAGCAGAGTCCATAGAAATACAATTTAGAAATAGCTGAAAATCGGAATTAAAAAATAAGGAATATTAGAAGAGGAGACTAGAGTCCATATAGAAATACAATTTAAAAATAGCTGAAATTCGGAATTAAAAAATAAGAAATATTAGAAGAGGAGAGTAGAGTCCATATAGAAATACAATTTAGAAATAGCTGAAATTCGGAATTAAAAAATAAGGAATATTATAAAAGGAGACTAGAGTCCATATAGAAATACAATTTAGAAATAACTGAAATTCTGAATTAAAAAATAAGGAATATTAGAAGAGGAGACTAGAGTCCATATAGAAATACACTTTAGAAATAGTTGAAATTCAGAATTAAAAAATAAGGAATATTAGAAGAGGAGACTAGAGTCCATATAGAAATACAATAAGGAAATAACTGAAATTCGGAATTAAAAATAAGGAATATTAGAAGTAGAGTATAGAGTCCATATATAAAATACAATTAGGTAATAACAGAAATTCGGAATTAAAAATAAGGAATATTAGAAGTAGAGTATAGAGTCCATATAGAAATACAATTAAGAAAAAAAATAGAAATTTAGAATTAAAAAATAAGGAATATTATAAGTAGAGTATAGAGTTCATATTGGAATTTAGAACCAACTAAAATTCGAAATAAAAAGGAGCCTCCACGTTCGCTCTCATGGCCTAGAAATTCTCACATTAATCAGAGAAAAAGAAAATGCAGAGTCTATATAGAAATACAATTTAGAAATAGCTGAAATTCAGAATTAAAAAATAAGGAATATTAGAAAAGGAGACTAGAGTAGTTATTACACATTAGTAGTTTTAAAAAGTTATTGCAAAATTTAAAATTATATTGTCATTGTAATATATTTTAATAATATAGTGAGAAAACATATATGCTATTATATGAGAGAAAATATAATGATGCTAGCCGCGCAGATTGTGCGGGCCACCATGCTAGTTATTTAACAGTCAATTTGTAAATTCAAGTCTTCTTTTGCTTCAGATGATAGTAATTTGTCTATTGTCAATTTTTATTGTAACTTCAAATATTTTTCTAAGAGTGAAGTGCACCAGCGGTCCCTAAACTTATGCGGGTGTGTCATCTAGGTCCCTGAACTCTCAAAATATATTTTTGGATCCCCGAACTTGTCTTGTGTGTCGTATAGGTCCATCCGATGACATGGCATGCCACGGTGACGCCTACGTGTCGGTGAGGACCCCACATGTCAGTCATATGTATAAAAATAAAATTAAAAACCATATTTTCTCCTCTCTACCTCCGCGTCGAACTCCACTGCCTCCGCTCACCGGCATGCGCGCGCCGGCCTACGTGCGTAGGCTCCGTCGGCTCCGCCACACTGGCCTCCTCGCTGCGGGCGAAGCCGTACCCACCTCGGCCCGGCCAGGCAGCCTCAGCCGGCTCTCCGCGTCAAGCTCCGCCGCCTCCGCCTCCGTGCCGCAAGCGACGCCGCACTCGCCTCGCCCGAGGCCGCTTCCTCGGCACCCTCCGCGCCGCAAGCGACGCCGCGGCTTCTGTTCAATTAGCCCGCATAGTTATGGTTGCATGCACGGGCGGCATGCATTGGATTCCCATGCTGCGTGCATATGTAGCATGCATGGGCGCACGCTACGCGCATGGCGGCTAGCTCCGCCTAGCACTCCGCTGGCTTCAGCCGAGTAACCCGCATGCCGCTCCACGACCTCCACTCTCGCCTCTCGCCACGGCCAAGGCCGTTCCGCCTCAGCTTGAGCTCCGGCTCGCCGCAAGCGCCGTCGAGGGACCAACTCCGCGCGGGCCACGGAGTCACCTCCGCGTCGGCAAGCCTCCGCGTCCGCGCGCGGCTCCATCGCCTCCGCGGCCACGCGCGACTCTGCCAACGCCGAGGGGCTCCGGCCGTTGTGGTTGTCCGCCTCGGCGTTGAGCCACGGCTCCGTCACCTCAGCGATCACGCGCAACTCCTATGCTGTCAACGTTGCGACCTCGCGCGGCTCGCCGTCACTGCCGCCACGTGCGACTCCGCCGGCCGCGCGCGGCTACGTCGCCTCCCCACCCAGGCGCGACACGGCAAACCCCTCCACGCGACACGGCGGCCAGACCGCCGCAGCTACTCGCTGGCCTCCGCTCGGTAGCACGTGTGGATAGATGCATGCAGTGCACGGCTCTATTCACGTGGCAAGGTGCAGGAGCGTGGCAATCTGCAGCCATGCCTGCGTTCGGGGACCTATATGACACGCAAGACAAGTTCGGGGACTTAAAAATGCATTTTGAGAGTTCAGGGACCTAGATGACACGCCCGCACAAGTTTAGGGACCGCTGGTGCACTTCACTCTTTTTCTAATATCGAATGATGGTGATATTTTTGTTGTTAATTGTTGAGCTTTTCTTGATTCGTTAGAAGTGATATTATGGGACACGCATGATATTAATAAGAAGATGTCTATAACAATCTTGTCTCAAACAATCCGATATCTATACTACTATAAAAAATAAAAAATAGTACCGGTGGTGGTCACCACCACCCTCAACTATCACGTGGGAAAAATATGATAGCCGAATATTCTCATTATGAAATTTTTCGTTACCCTAAACAATAGAAATACTTTTTTTAGAGGCTTAAAAATATATACAATGAACTATTTTATAAAATAAGCTGTTGCAATGTACGGCCATTATGCTAGTAAAAGCAAAATTGGCCGGCATATGGAAATAGAGAATGCAGTACTGGTGATTGGAATACCTGACCGCATATGCAGACGTCATCCCTAACGTCATCTTGTTAAAAGGAGGGAACAGATAGCCCACAATGATATTCGCCTTGTCTGGAAGATACCTTGTAATCTAGGTACAGTACTAAATCGTTACTACCTCCGTCCCAAAATAAAAATATTTGGATCTTGATACGGTCTCCGAGATATTATTTTAACTAATAATATATATAAAAATAAGATGTTTTAAATAAAAAGAGTGGTATATTATGATAGTTTGTTTAGTAATAAATCTACCAACATTAATTTTATATGATTGTTTTTTTTTATATTTTTACTATTAATAGTTAAAGTTAAAAATGTTAGATATTTTAGGAGGAGGAGGGAGTAGATTCTTTAGATTTTTGCATCTCCTGTAAAGGCAGCTTACGTATCGAATTTTGAAACTAACCATGTTTCTATGCCGGTGTAGTGCAGACTGGAGCAACGGCGGGCGATCGCGCCGCTGAATTAATCGGATTACTAATTGACAGCCCAATGATTTTGCAGCTGCGCCTCCCTCACCAACCCACGACCCGCTGAATATGTTAGCCACTCCATGGCTGATGCCGCACTATAAATAAGCCACACGCCCTCCATGTATGCCTCACTCGAGCTCGAACAATCTATATATTGTCAGAGACGCACACTTTACTGATCAGCTAGTTAGTCCCAGTTCTGAAGAACAACTGGAAAAAGAAAATCGAGCTGTAAAAATATTAGTACCAGTGATCAGTGACAGTTCAGAGCATCAACCATGTCGTCCAACAATTCCATGGAGGCCAACAATGGCGATGATGAGAAGAAGCAAGAGCAGGTGGTGTGCGTGACGGGAGCGGGAGGCTTCATCGGGTCGTGGGTGGTGAAGGAGCTCCTCCTCCGCGGCTACCGCGTGAGGGGAACAGCCAGGGATCCCCGCAAGAACGCCCACCTGCTTGATCTTGAGGGAGCCAAGGAGAGGCTGACACTGTGCCGCGCCGACGTCCTGGACTTCGCCAGCCTACGCGCCGCGTTCGCCGGGTGCCATGGCGTCTTCCACATCGCCTCCCCGGTGTCCAAGGACCCTGTAAGCTACTCTTGGCTTGCTTGTTTCGTCGAGTATTTTACCAATGCCGTGGCCGACGACTGAGCTGCTTGTCCGTTTTTGCTGCAGAATCTGGTGCCGGTCGCGATTGAGGGGACGAGGAACGTGATGAAGGCGGCGGCGGACATGGGCGTGCGGCGCGTGGTGTTCACGTCGTCGTACGGCGCCGTGCACATGAACCCCAACCGGAGCCCCGACGCCGTCCTCGACGAGTCCTGCTGGAGCGACCCCGAATTCTGCCAGCGAGAGGACGTACGTAAACATATGAGTATTTGACTGTACAAATGTTTATCAGTTCAGAAATCTGAAACGCACCGTACTTGACATGACGAATGCAGATATACTGCTACGCCAAGATGATGGCGGAGAAGACGGCGACGGAGGAGGCGTCGAGGCGTCGGCTGCAGCTCGCGGTGGTGGTGCCGTGCGTGACGGTGGGTCCCATCCTGCAGCCGTCCGTCAACTTCAGCTGCCACCACGTCGTCCGCTACCTCACCGGCGCCGCGGCCACCTACCCCAACGCCGTCGCCGCCTACGCCGACGTCCGCGACGTCGCCCGCGCCCACGTCCTCGTCTACGAGCACCACGGCGCGCGCGGCCGCTACCTCTGCATCGGCACCGTCATCCACCGCGCCGAGCTCCTCCGGATGCTCAAGGAGCTCTTCCCCCAGTACCCCGTCACTTCAAAGTACGTACTCCCTCCGTCTTAAAATATAACAAGGTTATACTAGATGGAGTCTGGATGAGATATATTCTAGTACATCAAATCTAGACATGGGTATCCTCTGTCTCAAAACCTTATATTGGATGAGATATATTCTAGCACAACGAATCTAGACATATCCATATCTAGATTTGTTGTACTATGATGGAGAGAGTAACAATTTTTACACTACTCCAACCATCCTATAAAAAACCAATCTGTTAGACTAGTAGAACACATCCTATTACTACGAATCCGGACATACATATATTAAGATTTATAGTATTAGGGCTGTCTTTAGATCCAAACTTTGGATCTAAATTTCTAACTTTTTCCATCACATCAACCTGTCATACATACACAACTTTTCAGTCATATCGCACCAATTTCAACCCAAACTTCTAACTTTGGGAGGAACTTAACACAGCTTAGAATGTGTCACATCTGATTCTAGATTCATTTTTAATGTGATGAAGAGAATACGATTATTGCCATGACAAGATCGATCTGAATTGTTACAATTAATCTTACAATTTGCAGGTGTGAGGATGAGGGGAATCAGATGGTGAAGCCGTACAAGTTCTCGAACCAGAGGCTCAGGGATTTGGGTTTGGAGTTTACTCCACTGAGGAAGAGCTTGCATGAGGCGATCGAATGTCTGCAGCGCAAGGGTCACCTGCCTGTTGTCACGGTGGCACAACAGCGTGCATGTTTGTAGAACCAAGATTTTATACACGGTGAACTTCCAAGTTCCAAAGATAATAAAAGCAGAGACATGACAGCGGCGGCATATGCATAACAAATTTATATTTTGGCGGCGGCTTAAATTTGAAATTTTGTCTACCTGAAGAATAAAGTAGGAGTACCATATAAAGGGAAGTTCAGCGTGGAAGAACCCGTACTACTACTACTCCTAGCTAGCCAGTTCATATCGTAAATCTGCATGTGTAACACAAGTTCTTTCTTTGGTATGAATTACATCTGTATCTCTACTTTGTTCATACTTCTACGATATAAAATGAAAAAAAATATTATATAATACCGATCGAGAATGTATCTAAGAAACAGGAATGAAATTAAGGGAGGAATAGCGCACCTCTCCTCTACTCTACATGCATCGAAAGGATTCTGCAATGAACACTCTCTGATACAAAGCATTCTGCAATAGTAGTACAATGAGATTTATTTGGAGAGTGGGAGAACACAAACCAATTTATCTTTGGATCTTCTAACAACTTGCCTTCCACTTGGCTCATCATCACTTTGTTCGGTCCATACAAACTGCGTGCGTGCTTGGGCCGCATACAAACTGCAAGGGGTGGGTGCCCACGTACAGGGAGAGCAACGCAGGAGAACAACAAACAAATTGGGAAAAAAAATGGGGATCTGTGGGGTTCGGAGAAGAAAACTCCGACCCCTTTGGATATATTTGTATTCGCCTCGATCAACATCTACGGGAGCGTGTGATTAGTTCCGTTTAGCAACTCACACATTCAGAGCGTACGCAGACTGTCGAGTCTGTGGTTCCAACCATAAACCACGTCTGCGATCGGCAGCTAGCAAGCATGTGCATGCTTGCTTCTATGCTCTCCAGCATTCAGGTACATATTTTTTAGATAATGGAATATAATATCCCGGCCTTTGCTAAAAAGAACTACAGCCAATTATTACAAAGATCCACTCCAGAAGAGAGTGTAGTTCAAGACAAGTTGAACACACAAAACAAGAGAAGAGATGACCCAAACTGAGAAAAGCAAAACAAAATGTGGAGCTAGAAGGCCTCATCAAAGCCTAGGACTGAAGTTTGCCAATGCATAGACCAATGGCAATATCCTTGCACGAAGAGGTTTTTCCAAAGCGGTGCCCCCAAGGAGGATGCGACGTGGATCGCCGCCACCGCTTGTTCGGAATCGAAGCAAGGTTTTCACCCGGAGAATATGGTAGGGAAAGAAAATGGGTATGCTAAAACAACGCCTCTAAGGAGGGGAACGACGCCAAACGGCGTCGCCGTTGTCAGCCGGCCAAATGGCTCGGCAAGGCTTTCGCCCGCGATTCCCTGTCCAAACCCACACCACCAATCCGCACAAGAAGAATCGTCGTCGGTCAACAACATTGTCCCTTCAGCGATTCGGCCAAGACCACCGCCCACAGTTCTTCCCGCCGTCGACGACGCGCCCGCACCCGGACTCCTCCTTCCCCGCCTCCACATATCACCTCCGCCGATGACGCACCGTCAGTCGGATGATGGCCTTCAACCATCGCCGCCATAGGTAACATCGTCGATAGCCGCCACCGTCACTGCCACAGCCACCACCGTCAGCCACCATCGCCATCGCCACCGCCACCGCCACCGCCACCCCCGTCCAGCCGCCACCGTCGCTAGCCAGGGCCACCAGACGCCAGACGTCCAGATCCGGCCGGGGTGACGCGGATCGGAGGTGCAGCGCGACGCGCGGGTCGCTGGCATCATGGAGGAAGGCGTCACGGGCACGGCGTTCACATCCGGAGCAATGACGAGGGCCGGCGTCGCGGCACGAGCCGCAGTCCGCCGCCGTCGTCGCCAACTTCGTCTCCACCACATCCGCCACCACCGCCGCCGCTAGCCACCCCCCGGCGTCGACCGACGTCGCCGGTCACCCCGGCCAAGCGGGGAGACCAGATCGTCGCCCGTCGCTGGAGCCGCATAGCCCCACCGCCACGCCGCCCGTGGAGCGCCCCCCTCCCCCCCGCTGCGCTGTCGCCGCGCCGTCCCGCCACCATCGTCGCCACGCCCGCGCCGGGGCGAGGTGGAGCCGAGGAGGATGGCCCCGCCGCCGCCATCCCAGCGCGTCGCCCGGCTTTGCCGGCGACTAGCTCCGGCGGCGGCGAAGCACGGAGGAGGGAGGAGGAGGGGCGGCGGCAGCGGCGGCTAGGGTTTCGCCTCCGCCGAGGGGCTGGGTTGGGGCGATCAGGTACATATACGTACTGAACATGGCAAAGGCATTTTGCAGAACTTGAAGCTTCAAAAATCACATGTTTAAGAATTAAGAGAAAACTATCCAAGGAAAACTAGGCCTAGTTTAATTAGGGGGGGAGGGATAATCGAGCAAGGAAACAGCGCAGTCTCTGACTCTGAGAACTAAGGAACGAATGGAAGAAAAAAGAGTGCGATATATAGGCAGGTACATCCGAGGGGACACGACAGCCAAGCCAAGGCTGTGTTTAATTTTTGAAAAAAGTTAAAAGTTTGGAGAAAGTTGAAAGTTTAAAAAAAAGTTATAAGTTTATGTGTGTAGAAAAGTTTTGGATGTGATGTGATGTGATGGAAAGTTGGAAGTTAGGGGTGAACTAAACACGGTCCAAGCATGGAAGCTAATTTCATGTCCCCTTCAGTTCAATGGCTACGTTCATTTGATCATTTCATCTATTAGCATCGATTCTATTGCTAGCTGCAGGTGGCCAGAGAGAGGAAGAGAGGAGGGGAAGCGGACGGGCTAGGAAGAATGGGAACTAATGGGCCGGATTGACTACTTTGCTACATTGGATTTAGATGGGCTGAATTTACCTTGGGTTGAAGAAATTGGAAAATTGGCGGTCCAACGGGGTTTGGAAAAGAAAACTCCGAACCCCTCCGATCACACTGCTACCGTCCGATTCATGCTTAATTAGATTCAACGGTTTCGTTGAGAACAGGGCTGTCCAGCTTCGTTGTACTAGGTCCTTTTAGATTATTTTTTTTATGGAGGGAGTATTTTTCTTCTCCTCTGAGACACGCGTGACGTGAGTTTGTGACGGTTGATGGTGATGCGGTGGATTGCGTTGTCTACCTTGCCACTCAAACGTTACTTAAAAACAGGTAAAGAAAAAAAAATCACCTGTACCCGTATTCATGATGCGTCGTGATTCACGCACATACATTTGACTTGCACGACACATTCAAATTAAATTTGACTTGCACGATACTTTCGAGTCATTGCATTCCTTGTTAAGAGAAGGTAAACATGGAACCCACCCACTCCAACATTGGAAGATGGAAGCAAGGTAAAAATAATACTCGCAAGTCAAATTGCTCGATCTTCACATGAGCGATCGATACCGGCCGGTGTATAAATACATGATGGCAGTGGCTGCAGGCTTATACACAAAATTAAAACCTCGATCGATCGAACAACGACAATCTTTCAACTAGCTCTAGCTCGGCATCACCATCACCATCACCATGTCGTCCATTTCCAACGACAACAATGGTGATCAGAAGCGACAGCAGCAGCAGCAGCTGGTGTGCGTGACCGGAGCAGGTGGCTTCATCGGGTCATGGGTGGTGCGGGAGCTCCTCCTCCGTGGCTACCGCGTCAGGGCCACCGTCAGGGACCCCGCGGACCGCAAGAACGCCCACCTGCTCGCGCTGGAGGGAGCCCACGAGAGGCTCTCCCTGCGCCGCGCCGATGTCCTCGACTTCGCCGGCCTCCTCGCCGCGTTCGCCGGGTGCCATGGCGTCTTCCACGTCGCCTGCCCGCTGTCCAACCGCGATCCAGTAAGCTCGCTACCTTTTCCCCTGCTTCTTGCATATATATCTTTTCTTATTTGAACCGGTACTAAAGATAGCGATTTTTGGTTCCGTATTCGTAGCCCCGATTTATTATCTAGGATTATAGAAGGTTACAAACCGGGACTACAAAGGGTTTGTACAGCAGTTGAGCTAGCTAAAACAAGCTGCTCTGTGCCGCATGCAGGAGCTGATGGCGGTCGCGGTGGATGGGACGAGGAACGTGATGAACGCGGCGGCGGACATGGGCGTGCGGCGCGTGGTGTTCACGTCGTCCTACGGCGCCGTGCACATGAACCCCAACCGGAGCCCCGACGCCGTCCTCGACGAGTCCTGCTGGAGCGACCCCGAATTCTGCCGGCAAAAAGACGTCAGTCTATTACACGTATACGCTAGTAGCTTGTTTGATATGCAATCCAGTTTATATGGTTACAGAAAAAATAAAACGTACGAAATGTATGTAGATGTACTGCTACGCAAAGACGATGGCGGAGATGGCGGCGACGGAGGAGGCGGCGAAGAGGGGGCTGGAGCTGGCGGTGGTGGTGCCGTCGATGACGATGGGCCCCATGCTGCAGCGTGCGCTCAACCTCAGCAGCACGCACGTCGCCAACTACCTCACCGGCGCCAAGAAGTCGTACCCGAACGCCGTCGCGGCCTACGTCGACGTCCGCGACGTCGCCCGCGCGCACGCCCTCGTCTACGAGCGCCACGACGCGCGCGGCCGCTACCTCTGCATCGGCGCCGTGCTGCACCGCGCCCAGCTCCTCCAGATGCTCATGGACCTCTTCCCCCAGTACACCATCGCTTCAAAGTAAGCAATCCCAATGCTTGTTCTACTAATTAATTAGAGATGCAATCGATGGATCTCCCATTCTCACGTGTATATACATGCATGTGTTTTCTTGGCTTGGCAGGTGTGATGACAAGGGGAAGCCGATGGTGAAGCCGTATGAGTTTTCGAACCAGAGGCTCAAGGATTTGGGCTTGGAATTCACCCCGTTGAGGAAGAGTTTGTACGACGCAGTCATGTGCATGCAACGAAACGGTCACCTGCCTGTCGTCTTGCCATAGCAGGAGTGTAGATCCAAGATATATATAAAAGACGAATTTATGAAGATATTGTTTGATAGCTAAATTTGGCAATAGAGTCAAGTTTATAGTAAGTTTGAGCCAAATTCGTAAAATACCAGAGCTTTCCCGCGAAGGCCGGTCTGGCCAAACAATCCACTACAGTTAGATCGCAGGTGTTTGGGTACGGTGGTCAAACTTTTTGCACGAAGTCCGAGTCCCATTTAGGTATTTCCTATGTTTTCTTGTTTTAGACCGGATTTCTCGAGTCCTAATTGATTTCTAAACCTAATTAGATGTGGGAAAGACTCTATGAAACAAGTCCACCCCTCCAACAAAATATATGGGGGCTAAGACCAATTGAAACAACAACCAATCAATCGGAAAAATTAATTTATCGTCCAAACCTCTTTCTTATTACCTATCCCAAAGTCTATTCTCCTCCAATCCTCTAATTGCTCGTCGTCTCTTGAATCTACAATGTTAGAGAATGTCCTAACTGGTCTACCGAATATAGAATAAACCGGTGCACGTCCGCCATGACGGTGTCCCCCTCGGGTATTCGTTCGGCGACATTTACCCACTCCCTAGAGCAGCATGTCTCCAGGTGCCGCCGCGGGTTGCACATAACATGCTCGAGGTGTGGTGGCAAGATTCTATGTTAACGGATCTACAATAAGAAAATTTCTCATAAATTAAAGAAAACCTTAATTACCGGAACTTGTACACCAACCTCCTTCTAAGTTCTAACTAGACAGTATACTCTTTGCTTAGAGTTACGCGACTTATTCCCAGTTGTGTTTTAGATTCTTAAATAAATAAGAAGTATAGTTACCTCTTGAGAAAACCTCTATCCGTTTTTTTTTCACCTAAAAACTCATTAAGAAATTTGATAGGTGTATCAATATATAACGTATCGCTCTATAAACACGTAAATTCAAATTCGACATACATAAGCAGAGACAAAAAATAATAAATTTGACTACGAATAGTATGCACTCTATTTATATTTAATTTTTTTAGTTTTCACAGTTAAATGTGTAAATTCGAGTGCAAATAGCAAACATTATTCACCGTTGCTCACTGTTCAAAATAGAAAACAACCAGGGTTCTCAAATGGCCAGTTCAGATTGTAGCCAAAATAAACCTTACCAAATTTTGGCAATTTGCTAAAAAATTTGCAGGATTTCTTATGTATTTACCAAATCTAGCAATAAACTAAACGCAAACATTTTTTTAGGAACTATAAAAAAATATATGGTTGAAAATGACATCAATCTGAACAACCCCATAGCAAACACGACACTTTTTAATTGAAAGTGCATAGGGGAACATAAGCAAATATTTCTTTTTTTTTTTGAAATCAGGTAATTTTCATTACCCAGCTTGTAAACCAAGCCCAGAACAGAGTCTTACACAAAGTTAATAGTTCTTTTCATGGGAGCATAGGATAGATGAGAAAATCCTTCAAAGGGTGAAAGTGAAAAAGGGCAGGTACGTGCCACATGTTTGCTCTTTTGGACGCGTGGCCTCCCGAGTCCCGGTCATCAGAGCTGCTGCCGCGCGTCGTTCTCCCTCTCTGTCTCTCCCCCTTCCCATTCCCTCCCGTTTCCGTACGGCGGGCGGGCGGCGGCTTCTCGCTATCTCCGACGACAGCCGAGGTGCAAACCCCCACCGGAAGCTAACGGAATTTCACCTTCCCCTCCCTGAGTCTCCCCCTTTGCTAGCTTGCGCGCAATTCGCATCACTAATCCAGTAATCCCCGAGGGATTAGTGCGGTGCGGGGGTTTTGCTTCTTCAACCTCCACGGCGGCACGCGCGCAATAGGCAACCTTATCATTCTTGAGAAGTTATCGGGAGGTGGTATCATTTTTTTCCGTGTAAAACTTACATCGTCATATTTTCTCAAGATATAACTGTAAAATTTCATGCTAATAACATTCGCTTTGACATTACCATTTTTTGGTACACATTACCTTATTTTGGTGCGCATTGTATCATTTGTATGTATGATTGCGTGACTTCCTTTCCCAATGCTCCCAATTAAAGTTTTCATCAGCTTATATAATAATTGATAATCTGTGCGTGTTTATGTATCCATGGTGCATTGGTTTCATGCAGAGGAGATGGCCCCAACACGTGCGATGGGGTGCTCCAGAAGGATCCATGTGGTGGTCATAGACACAGGAGACAGGCTAAGCTCGTTACCAGATGACATCCTTCACACCATCATGTCGTTCCTCCCGGCGTGGCAGGCCGTGCAGACGTGCGTGCTGTCGCGGAGGTGGGAGCGCCTCTGGTGCTCCATGCCATGTCTCAACATTCGTGGAGATTATGGGTACCCCATACCTACATGGCATAGTTATCTGACTGGCTATAGGGGATAACTTATATCTATGGAATATGTAACAGATCATGACTTGGGTATTACGTTTCCCTGTATATTATGGAACGGCCTAAAGTCCTGGTTTGAGAAGATTGTAAAGTAGATTTAGGAAACCGATACCGTATTGGTTAAGGTTTCTATCTTGTAACCCTGCCCCCCAACCTATATAAGGAGGGCAGGGAGCCCCTCTAGGGGCATGAGACAACCTGATCGTCAGATCAATACATACTCGGCGGATTCAAATCCCCAAACAGGAGTAGGGTATTACCTCTCATTGAGAGGGCCTGAACCTGTCTAAATCCTTTGTCTCCACATCCATCCACTTTTAGGTCTCGTGCGCTACCCCGTTTTATTATTGCCGAATTCATGTTTCGACAGTTGGCGCGCCAGGTAGGGGTAAACGCCGAGTTTCCTGACGACGAGTGCGATGGAATCAACTTTATGAGTCGCCGGCTTCGTCTTCGCTTTGGGAGCTCCTTGATTCCTCGCCGCCGACGACTTCAACAAGACGAATCGTTGCTGCTATTCTCTGCCTGATCTTGTTAGCATCAGCACGATGGCAACGACGGGGCAACGACAGTTCGACGGATTTGATGGTCGTCCTCGTCCACCACCAAACCTACTGGTCCAATTTACCCAACGAGGATGCCATGGTGTTGCAAGATGGATCTACAAACACGAAGCATGCCAAAACCGATCTAATCGGATGCATAGGAGACGGCTGCAGCCACGCCGATGCCTTCCTGCCGTCCTGCGTCGTGCTGATGGACACCAACGCCGCCCGCGACTGCGACCTCCGCCTCCTCCGCTCCGTCTCGGAGTCAGTCGAAGAGATCAATCTCGGCGAGTTTTTTCCTTTTAATCTCTGACTTCGCCGGGTTTTTTCCTTTTCAACTTATTGTTGTTTATTAGATTGATCTCTAAATGTCAGATTAATCTCTCTTAGTATTTTCTGCTGTTTGCATGTAACGCCGCGGCACTACTCTTGCCGACTGGTGTTTCCGTCTGCATGGCTGGCCTATTAAGCCGCCGCTGTTGGGCGTCTACGACTTCACCGCCGGCCTGCCTCCGTCGCCGCCGATTGGTGCCTCCGCCTACACGGCTGATCTATTATGCCGCCGCTGTTGGGCGTCTACGACTTCACCGCCGGCTTGCCTCCGTCGCCGCCAATTGGTGCCTCCGCCTACACGGTTGATCTATTATGCCGCCGCTGTTGGGCGTCTACGACTTCACCGCCGGCTTGCCTCCGTCGCCGCCGAGTGGTGCCTCCGCCTACACGGCTGGCCTATTATGCCGCCGCTGTTGGGCGTCTACGACTTCACCGCCGGTTTGCCTCCGTCGCCGCCGAGTGGTGCCTCCGCCTACACGGCTGGCCTATTAAGCCGCCGCTGTTGGGCGTCTACGACTTCACCACCGGCCTGCCTCCGTCGCCGCCGAGTGGTGCCTCCGCCTACACGGCTGGCCTATTATGCCGCCGCTGTTGGGCGTCTACGACTTCACCGCCGGCCTGCCTCCGTCGCCGCCGCTGTTGGGCGTCTACGACTTCACCGCCGGTTTGCCTCCGTCGCCGCCGAGTGGTGCCTCCGCCTACACGGCTGGCCTATTAAGCCGCCGCTGTTGGGCGTCTACGACTTCACCACCGGCTTGCCTCCGTCGCCGCCGACTGGTGTCCTCGCCTATACGGTTGGTTGGTCACACCACCGTTCATGGGCGTCCACGTCTTCGCCGACCGGCTGGCCTTCGCCGCCGCCGACTGGTGTTTCTGCCTACACGGCTGGCCTATTATGCCACCGCTGTTGGGCGTCTACGACTTCACCACCGGCTTGCCTCCGTCGCCGCCGACTGGTGTCCTCGCCTATACGGTTGGTTGGTCACACCACCGTTCATGGGCGTCCACGTCTTCGCCGACCGGCTGGCCTTCGCCGCCGCCGACTGGTGTTTCTGCCTACACGGTTGGCCTATTATGCCACCGCTGTTGGGCGTCTACGACTTCACCGCCGGCCTGCCTCCGTCGCCGCCGATTGGTGCCTCCGCCTACACGGGTGGCCTATTATGCCGCCGCTGTTGGGCGTCTACGACTTCACCGCCGGCCTGCCTTCGCCGCCGCCGACTGGTGTTTCCGTCTGCACGGCTGGCCTATTATGCCGCCGCTGTTGGGCGTCTACGACTTCACCGCCGGCCTGTCTCCGTCGCCGCCGAGTGGTGCCTCCGCCTACACGGCTGGCCTATTATGCCGCCGCTGTTGGGCGTCTACGACTTCACCGCCGGCCTACCTCCGTCGCCGCCGAGTGGTGCCTCCGCCTACACGGCTGGCCTATTATGCCGCCGCTGTTGGGCGTCTACGACTTCACCGCCGGCCTGCCTCCGTCGCCGCCGAGTGGTGCCTCCGCCTACACGGCTGGCCTATTATGCCGCCGCTGTTGGGCGTCTACGACTTCACCGCCGGCCTGCCTCCGTCGCCGCCGAGTGGTGCCTCCGCCTACACGGCTGGCCTATTATGCCGCCGTTGTTGGATGTCTACGTCCTCACTGTTGGCTCACCTTCGTTGCCGTCGACTGGTATTTCCGCTTACACGGCTGACCTATTATGCCGCCATTAGTGGGCATCTTCGCTTTCACCGTCGACCGCCTTCGTCGCCGCCGACTGGTGTCTTCATTGTTATTGATGGACGACTTTGTTCCCACATTGGCCACTTCTGCCATCACCAAGGGGAATATTACAAAGCTAAGTCATCATTTATTTTATTCTTTATATGATATTTTTCCTTTTCCTCTGCCTCACT